CAGGAGTTGATCCCGCCCCTGCCCCTGCCCCCGCCTCGACGTAAGCGTGACGTATGCGGTGCTTTTGCTCTGGCCAGACAATTTTTTGGTGCTTGAAACGAACCGGATTCCGGAGCTAAGAGGCTGCTACCGCTGCGGTGTGAACAGGAAAAGCCGGTGCTTTTCAAGCTCCAGCTCCGAACCGGCCCTGAAACACCGTTGGTGTGAATGAGGTATAATAAGACTCAATAAGCAAACTTTATCTCTGCTCTTACTTTGGTCCGAAACACCGTTGCTATGTTCTGCTCTGTTTGGTCTACATGTGTGCCTCCTCCAAGGCCATAAATAACCAATATCGCCCACATATACTAGATGTTTAAGGGACAATTGCACTCATCTATGTAAGAGAAAATATCTTAATTTAAAGGCATGGTCATGAGATGAAGTCAGCTGATATTAAAGAGGCCACAACATAGAAACAAGACTCCTTTGTGATGCAGAGTTACAGTCTCAATCGATTCCCAGCGTTTTCTCTCTTTTTATACAATCCATTATCAAGCATTGAACGACAGCAGCTACTTTATATTATAGATAACTTTATAACAGATCCACATGACTTCATATGTATTTCTTCCGCTACACTGCAGCGTTCAATGAGCTGGCAGAAGTTCTGTAGGTCGCTCAGAACCCCTTCAGCAGGACAGACTCATTCTGACACACAGGTCCTCAGGTTAAATGTTGCTTAAACTCAACATTGAAAATCGCTTCTCGATCTTATGACATCTTTGGAGCTCGGAAGTATCATGGAGTTATTGCAAAGAAATTAAATATAGAGAGTTGAATTGAAGAAGAGCGATGCTTATAAACAGCCAAGATGATGAAAGAAGCACAGGAAAGAAAATAAAATGGATAGTTGGAAATGCTAAAGAGGAAAATACTCTGACTATCTCCCCTCTGCTGGGGTTTGACTTCTTAAGACAATAGAGCCTTGTTAAGCACTGGCTAATGTTAATCCACAGCATAATACACACAGCCAGCAAAAGTTTATCATATATAACAACAACACTGGCGAAAAGCACACAAACACACCATTCAGTAAACGTTAGCAAACCACAAAAGGCAAGCCTACGAAGAAACACATGCAGATTAAGATTAACACTCAGAAAACATTAGTTACAAACAAATGACTTAATGTAATGCACTGCCTTACATGCTGCAGATAAAGCTTTATCCAAAGACAACACCAGAGGGAGTTGCTCATGCTTGAATCCCACTAATCGTATTCTTTGGCCCCTTCCTCTGAAAGGACAGCTGATATCTACATGAATCTAACAACAGGGAAATGTCACATGAAAAGCACAATAGGAGTTATATTTATCACTGAATGGGATAAGGAGGGAATTCTCTTTTCAGCAGCGATTAGAAGCGTTTTTTTCACGAGATGTTAACATTAATAATAAGGGCCGTCTTTTTGTTTATTACAGTCAGTCAGTTTCTATAATTACAGTTTCAAAAACGTCTTTCAGAACAGCCCAGGGATTCTTTTTTCTTCACGTTCTCATTTGGAGCTTTATTTTTCAGATGTACTTTATATACTGTATTTTCAAAAAGGCATGAACTATGAAATAATACAAATAGTGTTCCCAGGGGAAGTAAGAAGAATGAAACGGACAAATATTACAAATCATATCTGCCTTTCAGTCATTCAGAGGATGCTCTCACAATGAGTCCGACAGTTCAAAGCAGTTTACGGGAACACACAAAGCTTTTGAGAAATTGTTTCTTTTGGCTGGTAAACGCTGACAACATCCAGCCTCCCACTAATTTTGAGTGATAATCTGACAGGGAAGTTATCAGCTCGGGAAGACATGACGACAGAATGTGTGCGGCATCTAACGATTATCTTAATTATTGATTCATCTACAGATTTTCTTTTAAATACTAAAACTATCCCTGACAATTTCTTCGAGCCCAAAGTTATATTTATTTGCTCAGGTAAAATATGTCCTTATTTTTGAAAATCTATTTTATCTTTTGAATTTGTAATCTTTGACATGAAGTGTAGAAGCCCATGAACTTATAATGGAACAGGTATGTTGAACATAAATATAACCAAGCGCTTAACAACTCTGTCAACTGCAGAAAAGTCATCAACAATTGAAAAGAAAAGGCTTGTATGTGCTTAAATGAGAGTATTTACTGACCTTACATCATTATTACATTACATATCATTGGGTGTTAGCTTGTCAGATTAAAAAAGCAACCTGAAGGCATTACTAAGGGACTCATAGGAAATCATCACTTTTATCTGACATTGAAGAAACAAAATGAACACTGAAAAGCATACTCTTCACACCACTTCCCAGATTGACCAGCAGCACAGTAAGGAAAGAGTGATCCTCTCAGTCGAGGCAGACAGAGACGTGACATGGGTTGCCTTGTCACACATTAAAACCACAACAGTAGGAAAACACCTAACAGCCCCGTCTTCTGTAGGGCTCCCAGGCCTATAGTTTCCGATCCATCTCTCCCATCCATAATCAACCCCCCCCTCCACCCTACACCCTCTAGTCTAAACCACCATGCTCAGCCCTTTCAAGTGGCAGGTAGACGGGGCCTGATACGCCGCTACCGCCTCACAACCAGCGGGCTAATTACAAGGGAAGCAGCAACAAGTGAGCATTGTGTGGAGTCTCCAAGACACACGGGGAAAGAAAGTGCTCTTTATCTTGCCACCACCAACCCGCCCCCCCGCCCCCCCCCCCCCCCCCCCCCCCCCAATCCCACCCTCAACAAAAACAATCTCTGAGAGGCTTTGCGGTTGGCACTCCAGGGTTGGAGAAAGAGAAGAGAAGATTTGGAGACGAAGGTGAAAGAAGTGGAGGCACATCGATGAGAGACACATACCATAACACGACGCGATGCCGGATGTGTCGTGTTATGCTACGACGAGTATTAAGATGTTTAAGGAAATACGCTCTTTCTAGTACTAGTAGTTCATTTAGATTATATTCTCAATCACAGTGTAGGGTAACTCATTTAGAGAGGATGTGGTTCCCTGGGAGATGTATGTCCATCTGCCTCTTTTCACAAGTAAATACAACTTTTATGTGCAAAAGTGAAAGGAAATAAATATTGTCTAGGATATTCTTTCTAAGAAAAACTGTAAAAAGTCTGTAACATGTTGACTACCCTAACTTTTGTAGGCATAGTTCGAATCTGGTGGCTTGAAGTTAAACAAGGGTAGAACAAAAATATACAAAGAAAGTCAAAACAAAGAATTCCTACATTTATTTATTTTAAAACAATTCTCAGTTTCTATTGTCTAACTGTGGTGGAGCAAAGAAGACACTTCACAGGAGCCGTTGCATTGAAACTTAAGCTTATTTCCCCATTAACTAGTGCTAATGTGGTGAGTTTGAGGTATTTTTGGAGGAATTATTTCACCAGGAGATAGTCTCTAACAACAGCCATCTATTTTTCACCCTTCAGCGACCCATTTAAAATCTCCCATGACCAACAGCTGGGTCATTACACATTAAGACAGCGGGGTGAAACACACGAGCAAATCACATTCTCCAGCCAGAAAGTAGATGTTGTGATACAGCAGATTCCCAATTCACTGTGCCTCATGTTGGATCAGCCCAGTAAGTGTGATCTCATAAACATGCATGTCTGCTGTTTAGCAACGTCTTGTCTGCAGGAGCAGGGGGTTAATTCAGGCAACAGGATTACACAGCACGTGAAAAATGAATTAGGCACAACCACTCATGTTTGGTGCAATTAGTCAGCCTATCCATGGATATTGGTTCTCATGGATGACTTGAAGGGATTTTATGATAAATTATTTTTAAGGCCTGTCTGGCTGGATGAGTGATACTACATACTTGACATTTTTCCCTGAGCCTTTCAGATGTTTGTTTTAGCGGTTTAACACTCAGAACAGCTATTAAGGCAGCAACAACCCTCTTGCCATTCACGCACGGTGCAAACAGATGGGAAACGTCATGTGAAGCGCTTCACGGTGACGGCATCAATCAGATTCCAACTTCAGCAAAGGCGTCAACAAAAACAAGGTCTTTTTTCGGCTGCGTCTCTCGTGAGGGAAAGTAAAGCTTCGTTTCATAAGGCAGTTAGGCGGGAAACAGCACAGTTCAAAGTCAAATCAGAGCACATGTAACGTTTGAGAAGGATCTGCAGTGCTGTGACTGATCTCACACTAACGCTCCTCTTTAAAACTAAATCGATTTCAGATGTATTAAAGTAAAGGGGCGTCAAATGTCTCTGTTTTGCAACTGAACATAAAAAGTAATGGTTTTGGGGCTTAAACTGCAGAGGTGTACTCATTGTAGATCTCAATCACATTTGACTATACTTAAAGAAGCATAACTGGCAAAAAAGCCTAACTATTAGCCTCTAAATGTGTTAAAGAAATGTGTCCAACCCCTCAAAATGACTTTTTCCATGAAACACACATTTTCAAGACCATGCAAAACAAATTAAGTACACATTATGCAGAAATGCCCAGAAGTAATATTCAAGCCTTAATCCAAATAGACTATAAAAAACACCAGCACTTTCATGCCCAATATCATGCCATCGCCGTTTGGTACGCATACAAATCTGACTACTGAGGACTTTTTGCTTCAGCCCAAAAAATAAGATACTAGTCATCGGCCACTGGACATGAAACAATTCCATCCCTGAGTGTGTGTTTCTGTCTTTCTTCTTATGTCCTTAGCAGTGGTGGGGTAATAAGAAAAGAGTATCACCACTAAAATGTAATATTATAAAAACATAATTATGTATTCCAGAATATGTACTGAAGCACAAAACCATGATTTATGAGTTTGGACTTGATACTGAAGATCTTTAAATAGCAGCTAAATGGCATAAACTTCCACTGGAGTCCAAAGTAGGACGTAAGCATTAGGACCTCAGACACCTCTGAGCTACTGACACAAAAAACCTTTTGGAGAAAAACAACGGCCAGCAGAGAATAAAAACAGAAGCTGACTTACAGATGGAGAAATGGAGCCGTTGGGGAGGTAGGGGTCAGGCAGCATCAGGAATGGATACCCCGGATACGCCTGCGTCTTGTACATGCCTCCATCTTGGTGCTTCGACACTGCCAGGACATGAAGAACAGCAAGCAAGATTTAGAAACTCAATAACTCGAAGAATGTTTTAATGGGACTTTTAATAGAGCCACTTTGTAGAAGTTGTTTTCTATAACTCCTTTGATTTGTTGGCTGAGAGTAAGGGCATTATTCGAAATTAATAGAAGTTAAAAACCATGTGTTTAAGGAATAAAACTAAAATGTGATACTCACTCCCACAATGCTAAAAGATTCAACTGTGTGTCTCAGAACAAAAAGGAAAGACCTGACATCCGAAATAAACGTGCATACAAAGTAGGGCAAGTATTTACAAGTGTTGTAGTTACTACATGTTATATCCTTGTGTGGGCACACTGCAATACTTGAGACAAAAGCATTACAAGCGTCACCTGAGAGGCGTGAACTCCTGTAGCCTATGTGTTAATTTATCTCTCACCACCAGCCATATTAAGCATCAGAGGCCTCTCTGTGGGTCAGCTGTAACTAGGTTATACCGGCTCTGTATGAAAACAGACACACACTAAACTTTTTTACCGTTTCAAAGCCCAATTCCTTGTCATGGAAGGTGCCCAAACTTTTAATATAACCAAGGTGACGGAAAACTAAATAATCCAATCACGCAAGCACAATCCGTCTTTTCTGTGGGTTTCATTTTTTCCAAATAGACACATTTGAAACCACAAATCCAAATTTAAGGAAGATTTTGCTCATAGGAACACAATGCTAGAATATTTGTTCCCTTTCAGAAACCATTGGAATGAGTTACACAACTTGAGTACAGCCTACAGTGACGCCTATAATTAAAACTGCCATGTATACATTCTCTAAATGTGCCTTATCCTTGGGAGGGAAAGTTAAATTGCCCTGTTCTTTTTGGGTGGCAACCCTTAAGAAATAAAATAAACCTCTCAAGGACCCTGGTTGACCCCACTTTTGGCTAAGTATGGCAACAGCTTCACTGCAAAAAATATCAAGGGTTGAGAGTAAAGTGGAAAAAAGTATGTAGATCTAAAATTGGGGAGATAAAACTAGCTGCCAGTATGAGGAGAATATCTTGAACATCTTTTATACATGATAATATAGCAAACATTGTTACATGAGCTCATCTTTATAACTATATAAAACATAAAAGTACTTCCAGAGTCCATATTTCCCCAGTTAACATGTTAATACAGATATTTAAATAGTTTTTGTTTTTAAATAGCTGTCATAACAGTTTTTGTTGCTACGTATTTTTCTTTCACCGTCTTTGTGTATGCCCCACATATACCAAACCAAATTCCTCGTATGCCTATGTGTTAACATACTTGGTAATAAAATAAATCTTAAACAATACTCTATGTGAATGCTGAAAAGAAACACAGGAAATGCCCTCAACAAAGTTATGTTTCGAGAGATAAACTGGAGAGCTGCCTACGGTGGACCTCTTTTGCAGTGTGCACCTGAACACAAGTCTTTGAAGTTTGTTTTAATGCAGCAACACGTGTCCTGCTGACCAAAATACTCCATAGTTTGACACGGTGGGGGGGGGCTTTTCTTTATCGCTTCTCAGCTGTTTTCTGAGATAGCAGTGGATACTCAAACCCACAAGACAGCGAGTGTGTCTTCTTCTCACCTCCGTCGTGATGCTCCCGGTGCTTTTCTTGGTAGCCCCTCTGCTCGCCCTGCTGTCCCCGTCTCACCGCCTGCAAGGCACCGACAACAAACACGGGGTCAAAAAGTACATAAATATAAGCACACAAGTGTCAAAAAAAGTGTTTTGGTTCCAATGTGTTATCCCTTCCCTTTAATAAACCCCTGGTAGCCTGTGCATTTTACTACTGTAACCCCTGAAGGCAGTCTCATTCAACGCTTGTCAGCAGCGTGTAAAATAAAACAAGCTTCCTCACACACTCTTCCCGTGTTACATCCACACACACTCCGTGCCACCTACCGCTGAGTTCGGACTTTGATTTATTTCCGACTCGTTCACCAGAGAGGACTTGAGGTCGGCCAGGTCTCTCTCTGTAAACGCGTTTTCTTGGATTTTCTCCTCTTGCTCCCCTTCGTCTTTGAACGCTATCATCTCATCATTCGCTCCCAGGTCGTCCCCGCCGCCGCTGCTGAGCTGAGGCATGTCTACTTCTCCCACCTCCTTTTGCGGATGTTTAATAAGTTAAAAAAAGACGAACAACAAAAAGAAAAAGTATAAATAAAGAGAATGTACGGAGTTTCTCTCCTCTGTCTGGGGCGCCTCTAAAAGTGTAGAAACCCCAACCACATACAAGGGAAAAAAAGTTGAGATTTCTCGTCCCCCCGGCTGGCTGCTTTAGAGGAGACTAATGTTTCCCTACAACAGCAAACAGCTCATTTGAGCCCAAGACAAGGCGAGGAGTCCCGACATCAAAGGGCGCCGACCGGATGATTGACAGGTCCGATGACTTGTTGGGGGGTTGGAGCCTACGATTGTTTCTGTGGAGGGTTGAGCCCATGGTTTGGTTGAGCCTCTTAAAGAGACATCACCTCCCTTTGCTTAGCTGAACAGCATTATTCATGACTTCCAGGGGCGCGTTCACGCCGTCCTCGGTCCCTCGGCTGCAGACTGCTGCTGCTTTTTGCCACCAAAACTTCATCTAAGTCAAATAATCAGCAAAAGCAGCATTGCAGATGAGAAGGTGTGCATTTAAATGATGATTTCTGATATTTTTGTTAAATGGCCTTGCAACTTTCTCTTGCACTATTTTATTTATATTCTGTTATATATTGCAATATATTCGTAGTATTTTATTTGTTGCATTGTTTGAGGATCCTTGGACTTAAACATGTCATTGCTATAACTACACTGTAGCTACTGTGCTTATGACAATAAAGCCTTTGCATTTGGGAAAATTGAATATTTAAATCAATAATGGAATGCTTGTTTCAGAATATGTTTTTTCCCCCTTATATCCATTGGGGTTTTCAAGTCACTTTATATCACAACTCTACTATATTCATCCAACACCTGTAATTACTTTACAGTTTGTAACTGTACATTTTGCACTAAAAAGCAAACAATGAGCTTAAAAAATACATTGATTAACTATACCAACAATGATTGAAATAGGTGAAATACTAACTAGACATTTATTAAAATATTTGAATAATCCTGATATGCAGGGACATATTTAAATAATTGAATCATGTGATTATTATACAATTATTTTTATTTAATTAATATGTTTCAGTAAGAAATGTATTAAATATTTTTACAGTGTGACATTGCACAAAATACCTCCTTGACCACTGCATATTTCTTAAAGTAGCTGCAGCTGGATTTTTTTACAGTTTCATTTATATTTGAATACTTAATTGCAGATTTGAAATCTTAATCACTACCTCATTAGTTAGGATATCAACTATGATCCTAAAGCAACATTTGCACAGATACTTTTTTTTCCTGTCACCACCAGGTTTAAAATCAAATCCTCTCCATATGACAATTATACACTTTGAGGAGCTAAAACACATTTTGACAATCAAATATTGGGAAGATGATTATCTCCTCTGAGCATGTTCATTACTGTCTATGTTGCCCTTTAAAGAGTTTTCCCAAAGGTGGTTTACATAATGTTGGAAAATGTGCCATCTGAACTTTATTTCTGGTCACATCAGTGCACATTAACCAGGATTTTCATTAAACGTATACCAGACTTCCAGTATACTGATAGATGCAGGATTCAATCGTGGTGAATGTTTTTATTTTTCATGAGCACTGGATTTAAGGTCGCCCTTTTCTCATTAACAAACTGTTGGTGATTTGTAACTACCATACTGCTCTAGTAAGAAAAATGTAACATTTCTGGTATCAAATGTAACTGTTTTCTCAGGGTGTCATCATCAAGTTAGTTCATACATTTGGTAATTTTGCATTGTGAGTTTTTTCCTATCCCAACTGTCCTTTTGTAGCGTCTGTTCTCACACTGTTCAGTTTTTTTCACATTGTGGAACAAAAGCTCCTCGTTTGCATGGGCAAGTGGCATCTCAGGCGAGAAACTGCAAAATGTAGGACATTCTGTGAAAAAACATCAGAAGGCACGGCATGCTCATCAATAACAGATGCACTGCATGTTTTTGACTGGTCCTTACATCCCTCAGATGTTGTAACAGTCTCCAAAACAGCGAAAAGTGTTAGCTGTTGCAACTACTTGATTTGAGGAGGGGAAAGAAGATACAAAACAAAGTTCAAAGATGTAGACTTGTAGTTCTGATGTCTTGTCAAACTCGTAACTTGCCTTCCCTTATTTTCCTCCCAATGCCAATGCATTTTTAATGCTGAGACAGTAGCATAGCTGGTCTTCAGAGTTTTTAATTGAGAAATATTTATACACTCCCATGCTGTGACTTAATACTTGACTTAATCTGAGTCGGTTGCCTTGAATGAAAATGATGATCCACAGCTGGGAAACAGAATTAAATACAAACAGAAAATGGGTCCAGTATTTGCATAAAACTGCATATTTATACAATATCTTCGATGCATATTAATAAAAAGATTAAAATGAGCGGTTTTAATGTATGCAAATCTAAATTATAAATGAGTTGTTTAAACTCCTTGTTTATTCGCCTTGATTAAATATAGACAGCTGTTTTTCCAGAGAGACAGCACTTCTCCTGTGCGGGCCACGCTGCCTCGTGAGCTCGCCGCGCTCTTATCTCAACACAGTTTCCCATGGATCTGTGCTGATAGTTTTCGCATCATCGTCACATGGTTCACAGGTTCACCTAAGGCTAAAGTCAGCCTGTCTGTCTTTCTCTTATACAGATACACAAATCCAGAAACTATCTCTCTCTCTGTACACATGCTGTCTTTGTTGAAATGCTTATGTAAGTGCTTTTAATTGGGCATATGTGCCTTTAATTGTGTGTCAATTGTGCTCATGTGTTTTAACCTGTTCTTATGCTTATGGGTTTGTCTGTGCTTATGTGATCGTATACAGTGTCTTCTTTTAATGCCATCAATCTTCCCTTGACTGCAGAGAAATCTGGCACATTTATATGATATATATAAATCTACAATATCCCTTTTAAATATATTAATTTCAAAAAACAAAACAAATACTTTGATACTATCTGACCTACAAACACTTTTTTTTTCTCTTTGTATATATCTCTCTTTCTCCCTCTATTTTGATTTGGATTATTCCTGTCGGATCAGAGTCATATTTGAAATTCACACTACACCGTCTTATCAGTCCACAGTTTTTGTGACACACACACACCCTGAGCATCCTTTCCTTTGTCATCATGTTTGATCTCAAACTCTAATGACTGTCGTGACAACACAAATGGCAACGAAAGGCCAAATAAGGAAACATGATCAGATAGAAAAGATAAGCAGCCCACACAGAAAATAAGAGGATGTTGCTGCTGTGACCCCAGAAAGTGAGCTCTTCACATACAAGTGCTATCTCTGAACAAGACAACGCCTGTAGTTGTTCTGATAAAGGAAGTGCACATATCTTATTGTTTTATTAATCTAAAGCATCTAGCAGAGTGTAACACACATGACTGCGCAGTAATGCTAACATTTAGAATATGTCAGAAAGCAAAGCACTGTTGATTCAACAACACTGTCATTGCAGTACTGAGACAACAAAATGCAGTTTAGTGTAAAGTGTGCATTATGTACAGTGGGCTATAAACAGTTCAGGATGAGAAGTATGCATATACAATATAAAATGGGGAATTCTTGGTATTTAGATATGTTCTAGCTACAACATGCTGTTCTTAAATGTATAGCAAAAATAAAATGTCGATAAGGAAAGTGTTTATTGACAACATAGTTAATGGTCTGGACTAGTTTTGGGATGAATCTAAGCTGTTACAAGACAGGATAGGACAACAGAATACATACTTTCTGCTTCCTAAAATCGTTCAGACTTTTTAATGTAATAAAATAACCGTAAATGGTGAGATCCTCACTGTAGGGATAGATAATAAGGGGAAACATCATACATTAACCAATTTTTATTTATGAAGACTAACAGGGAAAATAAATGATGTCACTCAATGCAAGACACCAAATATCCACTTCACTGTCAGCGTGTCAAGGACTCATTTTTTTATAGGAGAACATCATTACAATGAGTCCTTTTCCATTGCTTAATCATTGGTGGGGGAAACGTTCCTTCTTTAACACGCTTTATTTTTTATTTTTCATACATAGATGAATCACAGTTGGTTCAAAAAAAGATTATATACTCTGCTTTCTAAAGAAACATCAGGCGCATTAAAGCGGCAGAGTAATTAAATCATGTCCTTTCATTGGGGTTAAACCACATCCAAGCAAACTGCTCTTAACTGGAACCACTTGTGTGCTTTTTATTGGTAGTTTTCCTACAATCAAAACCATGTTCTTCTAGGCAGCAACAAGCCAGCAGTGTGGAACCTGAACAAATCTTTTCAACAGTTTTATTTTTCGACCGACGTTTTTCAGAGAAACAGTTAACTTTTCTATTGTAACGTCAAATACTCAAAGTGGTTTTAGTGAGATTGTGACTGACTTATGTTTAGTTGGACCACCACCAATCCGCATGCAACAAAAATATTTAAAGGTTATGGATAGATGATGTTTAATACTGTGCAAAATATTATTAAATTAATCATGTCTTTAAGCTTTCACTAGATGTTTTGCCCTACTTTCCTCTTATCTGTGATAATGTCTTTAGGTAGAGCCTGTATTTAAAATGAATAACAGCAGTAACCACCACCAAGAATAGATGTTACATTCACACCAAGATTTTATTGAAATGTAAGAGAGAAATGGTGTTTCTTTTCCTGAAAGATGTCCTTGCACCTGCATTGAAACCACATACTGGCCAAATACAGTATACAAAACAAGTTTCTGCCCTCATGTAGCTGAGCACTCGAACCCGATGCTCAGCCAAATAAACCCTAATAAAACCCCTAATATGTTGTGCCAGATAATGAGTCGTATTCAAGTTCTACTTTGCTGAGTGCTTGCTGATTTGAATGTGTCTGTCTCTTTTGATCCAGTGGAGTCCCTTCACCTCTTCGTTAGCTTCTTATCAAACATTTATAAGCTGATATCTCAGATCTGGGCAGGGCTTTGGGTGTGAAATCAACAAACATAAGCAGTGGAGGTTGGAAAATACATCGCTGGTCTTCAGGAGAGGATCAAGATGCAAAACGCTCTATTTGTGACTTTGTGTTCAGATTGCAAGATTGACATTTTATCAATGTACAAATTGATCCTATCTTGAGCCATTTTAAACAATTGAAAGTAACTTTATCATTCACATAAGACTGAATAACAGCATAAAGAGCTATGGACCCCTTTCCTACATTTACTCTGAAGAAATTACAATATAGACAATTCCGGCTCAATTGAATGAATGACCGTTCAAGCACACATTTAAAGAACTTTTTCTTTTTTTTTGCAAATGAGGATTTCATTGAATTTTCA